TGTCCTTCACATTCGTACGTCCACTCGAATTCATCATGACCATATGTCTTTCACCTTCGTACGTCTACTCAAGTTCATCATTGCCATATGTCCTTCCCCTTCGTACGTCCACTTAAGTTATTCATTTCCACATGTCCTTCCCCTTCGTGCGTCCACTTAAGTTCATCATTACCCAGAGGCGTAGCGAGGGTGGGCAGGGGGACAGATTCCCCGGGCGCCAGCTAATTAGGGGCGCCAAAATGTGCATTGATATTATTTTATTGATGAAATTTGAGAGTTGAAAAAAAGAAAAAGGGCGCTTTAAAATGAATCTTGTCCCCGGGCGCCAAACACCCTCGCTACGCCTCTGTCATTACAACATGTCCTTCACCTTCATACTTCCATTCAAGTTCATCATGGCCTCATTTTCTTCACCTTCGTACGTCCACTCAAGTTCATCATTGCCACATGTCCTTCACCTTCGTATGACCACTCAAGTTCATCATTGCCACATGTCCTTCACCTTCGTATGACCACTCAAGTTCATCATTGCCACATGTCCTTCACCTTCGTACATCCACTTAAGTTCATCATGACCTCATTTTCTTCACCACATGTCCTTCACCTTCGTATGTCCACTCAAGTTCATCATTACCACATGTCCTTCACCTTCGTACGTCCACTTAAGTTCATCATGGCCACATATCCTTCACCTTCGTATGTCCACTCAAGTTCATAATTGCCACATGTCCTTCACCTTCGTACGTCCACTTAAGTTCATCATTACCACATGCCCTCCCCCCCCCCCTTCGTACGTCCACTTAAGTTCATTCCCAAATGACTTCCACTCTGTTCACTATGTGTCACTTCCCTTCCTTCTGTGGGACTCCCTGGGCCAACCTCACTTACCTCAACTTCGTGGTCCCCGTGGCCCGGCCACTTTTTTAAAACACAACCACATCCGTCCCCTTCGCCACTAGTGGGATGTCAACACTGTCCATTCTGACGCCCACCGACGGACCAAACAATAATCCTCTATCACACTCAAAACATAATTTGCACGCATTATTAATTATAAGCTCTGTACCGTGAGCAGAGGCGGCACCACTCATTTTCATCCTCAGTATCACCTGGCCTGCATTGAAATGGCGACACTGACTCATCCAGCCCGGGGTAAGGGTAAAGGTCTTAGGTATAGTGCACCGTCTCAGTCTATATCCCTATAGCCATCAATCAACTTATAAACTCATTTGAAGTTAATGAGTTATGCAACCCACATCCATTAAACTGAATATACGGGTTCTCACAATAAATACTGGCAATGCCATCTATCCCCCCACCGCCCCTAACTTGACTCTCATATCGTCATTGTCGTTATTGTACGCATTACTCCTGCTTCTCTCTAATAATTTTCTGTCGCTCTGCCTCTAATTCCCCCCCCTAAATTTTTTTTTCTTGTTTTTCTTGTTCGTTCTTTCGCTTTTTTTTTCCCCCCCCCCCCAACCTCTCTCGATCCCTGTTTAGCTATTCTTTCCTCTCTTTTTTTGTTCTTCTCACTTCCACCTTATTTAGTCAACAAGTTTTATCTCTCGTATAATGGAGTAGTATACCCAGGAGCCTCGTTTATCTAATCTGATTTTCTATTTGTTTGTCTCGCCACAGTAATCAAAATTCGTAGGCCTATAGCGAGGAAACAGTAAGCAATAATTAACTCACTCTCAATGGGGTAGGATTTTTAAGGACCATCCGCGTCTCTTAAAAACCAAATTTTGCAAAAAAAGTTAAATTTTACAAGGGCAAATAATTTAATTGTACAAAAAATTTACACACATAGGGGCCGTCCATAAAGAGGCCGTCACGCTCCAGAGGGGGGGGGTGTAATAAAGTGTGACAGTTTGTGACAGGGGGGAGAGAGGGGGTCAGGTCATGTGTGACGTCACACATTTATTTATTTTTTTATTTTATTTCTAATTTTTTATTTTTTTAGTGGAATTTAATAGCTTTAAAAAATAATTTTCAAAAAATTGTGTGTTTCATTTGAATTAGTTTTCTGTCAAATTATTGTGACAATTTGTGAGAGGGAGGTGAGAGTGGGTCAGGTCATGTGTGACGTCACACATTTATTTATTTTTTTATTTTATTTCTAATTTTTTATTTTTTTAGTGGAATTTAATAGCTTTAAAAAATAATTTTCAAAAAATTGTGTGTATCATTTGAATTAGTTTTCTGTCAAAATAGCTTGAAATGCGTATCTCCTGAGTGTGTTGTTCACGATTCCTCTCGCTTGGAGCGCAAGTACGCTGCAGGCCCGTTCTTAGGAATATTTTTTTTTTATAACTGGCACTGCAGACGTCTGTGTCACTCACGTTACATTCCTCATCCTGAAATTTATAATTCTGAATTTAATTCGGAGGCAGGGGAAGGGAAGAAGCAAGGGGGGGGGGAGCTTTGGGGGTGGCAGACAGGAAATCGGGGGCTTGGCCGTGGGAATGTGAAAGTATAAATAGCAATCGCACCCCCCTCCCCCCACTTCCAGGGCCCCCAACCTACGCAACATGCTTAGGGCCCCCAAGCTCCTAATAATGGCTCTGTAAGCTATTGCGAAGCCTTGTTTTCGTACTTCCTGAAGTATTATTATTTCTATGTTGTCCGCTGCATAATTATGTCACTGTCTTTTTTATTATTTAATCATTTGGTGAGGTCAAGTTTCTCTAATATACTTCTTCACCCGTGTAAAAAGATTGCATAATTGGAAGATTATCTAAAACTTGACCTCAGCTATACTATTGTAAATGAAAAAGCAGCAGATAAATGATGTGTATTATATAATTATCTAGTCTAATTTTTGCAATTTTTGTTTTCAAAGTCAATCTAGATTGAGTTATTGCTTCAATGAATAACTGTGATAAATGTTGACAATTGACTATTGTACTATTAAAGTCATTTTAATAATATGATAGTGGAAATTAAGTTGAAATTTATATTTTAATACAGTTTAATAGTGAAGTGTGTTTTAGATTAAATTTTAATTAGGTGTTAATTTTTTTTTTAAATTGTTCGAAAGTGTGACGTACTTTAGGGGGGGGGGGTGTTCCGAGATTTGTGACAGTTTGTGACAGGGGGGATGGGGGGTAAAAATTGTCAAAAATAGCGTGACGTACTTTATGCACGGCCCCTTATGCACGCACACAAACACACAATTTAAGAAAAAAATATATATATATATAAACTCTTCTGAGTTGTGGAATTGTCCTACAGAAACTTAAATAACGTAAATAGTAGACACGCAAAAACTCCTGGGATTTAAATAAGTGTCAATAGTCACAAATGAGGAGATCTTGCGCTTAAATAAATGTCACATGCGGGAGCTCTTGAATTTAATGAAGTGTCAATCGGCGCACACGAATTTCAATAATTGTCACTAAACGTTGGGCGAATCACAGGCGACCAGACAGGGTCAAAGGACGTTGGCAGCTCACCGGACACTTCGTAGGAAACTTGATGATGCACATGCAGGTGACTAACTGATACAGGACAGGACGTAGGCAACTGACTGGAACTGGGCAGAACGGAGGTAACATGTGTAGAGAGAGTGTGCAAAATCTGCTTTCGCCAAAAAAATATATTATTTTCCTTTACTTTTGTTATATATTGTTGGGCTAAAAATACATTCAAAGGGTAAAACTTAGCTGCGAACTAAAGCTTGCCCTCAAATACATTCAATTAATTTAGTTTACGTTGTGCCAAGGAGGGGTGGAGTTATAGGTCATCCTCGTCGCCAAGTAGCTAGGATCAGAGCCACCCTGGGCGGACCAAGAATTTTGCCGCCTTCTAACGATAAAAACTCTTCAGAAGCTCGAATATTGTGCCCCTCCAGAAAATATAAAAAGTCTCCCCCCCCCTTTTTTTTTGAGCGCCCCCCCTCCACCCACCCTTTCCACGCCACTGTCACCCGAACATCTGAAATGCCTTCCCGGAGCAAATTGTTTGAAAGAAACATTTCCCAACAGTTGCTCCCCTGTTTTTTTGAGCGCCCCCCCTCCACCCACCCTTTCCACGCCACTGTCACCCGAACATCTGAAATGCCTTCCCGGAGCAAATTGTTTGAAAGAAACATTTCCCAACAGTTGCACAGATGCCAGTATATGGATGCAGCCACGAACACTACCAGAACTGGTCGTAGGTTGCCAACCCCTACCATAGATAATACAGGGAAGCCACTAAGTCTTAAATTTAGGCTATAATTATTATTCATTTTGTATTACATCCCACTTTATTTTATATCAGTTGGGGGAATTTATTTCGAACTCTATTCGATGAACTTTTCGTACACAAGATCGTAGTCGTAACCAATTTTCCCTCTAAGGTTTGCTGGTTCGTGTGCAAAATCATACAGTTGTGTGCAAAGTTTTACAGCATCAGATTTTTTGTGTGCAAAATATTACAGCCCACAAACCCAAACTTACATGGAAATTTGCTGCGCGGATACTCAAAACTGCTGCGCGGCGTCTGTGAGTGAGCTGCGCGGCCGCGCAGTTTATAGGGAACATTGGTCGTAACTATTTTTAAAGGATAAATAAAAAATAAAGCCGTAAGTCTTAATAAATTTTTCTAAAACATTCCTCTTATTTTGACTCTCAGATACTAAATTGCAGCTAAGTTTTATTTAATTTTTACTGTTGTTTTTTCGCTGAAGAAGGCTTTTTGCTGACACGACACACTTTCGGACACACTTTCATTATTTTGTTGAGTCCTTTTTCCAGGTTTTCCCATGTCATACACAACTTTGTTTCGCTTATTTCCTCTCATCCTGACACCTAACCTGATTGCAGTCTCTCGCCTTTTAATTATTTTTTTTCCGTTCAGGGCAGAGTTTGGTTAGTGGACTATTTCAAACGATTTGTCCTTTTTAAACTGGATTTTTTATGTTTGTCACAGATGATAATCTTTTTGATAACACGCTATCAAACATTCACAACGGGCTTGTCTCTCCGCAATGACCTAGTTCCTTAGTGCAGTGACCATCGACGAGAACACGTCAATAAAAACTGGACTTAGTGTGTCCACTGACAACACAGTTTCTGAGTAGTGTGCGGCAGTGTGCGCAAGTCAACCCATACAACAAAAAAGTCATTTTGAACGAAAAAAGACGAAGCCATCAAAACGAGACTAGGCTAATTTCAACTGTTTTCTTTATAGTATTCGCATTATTAATTTATCATTGTTGATTAGCTAAAGTTCTTTTGTTTTGTGATGTTTTGGACCCCTATACAGTTGGCATTTTAACGATTAAAATTACATTTATTACAAGTGATAAAGCTCACCGCATAGCCTAACAGCAAGGTAATTACAAATTTAGTTAATTGAGTGTCACTGAATAAATTAAACACTTATTAAGTTATTTTAATTAGCATAACAATTATTTTTATAAAGGATAGGCCGCTTATATAGGCTCAACTCTAACTAGTCTAACTTAAGTCTAACTAACTAAATTAATAGAAAAAATAGGCTTACTGAAATTACTAATAATAGTTACTTATACTAATATTAATATTGTTACATTAATAATGTAAAATAACGTTAAATAGTTTGGATAGATGGGTCTACCTGGTCATATTATTGACGTAGTCGTAGTGACGTGATTGACGTGAATGTGATTGTGAAGAATAAACCTCCTAGAGGTAAACCTACCTAATATTAAATTATTAATTGTAATTAATTATACACATAATTACTATAATAATTTTACAGGCCTATCTAATTTATCTACTATTAATAATCTATAGGCCCTAATGTATCAGTCATCAGACTTTATGTGTTTTTTGTTGACCCCAAGGCTAAATTTATTTGAGACTCGGACCAAAAAATTAAAGACTAAAACGTAGACGTAGTGTAAAAAAAAACTAAATTATCACTCAATCATAGCTCTTACTCTTACATTATCATTAGGCTACAACGTGTGTTAGTAGTCAGTGCCATTAATAAATTAACTCATTGCTGATTAATCTTTAACTTTAGGCCTAAGTAAGTCTTAATAAGTATCTTAATAAGTTCAGTCAGACAATAATCTATTTTATATAATAGGCTGAATAGGCCTACTAAATTCAGTGGCGAGGAGTGGGAGGCCTGTCTTCATCGGCACTTATTTCAGTATATTGAGGGGCTGCATTTTCGCCCTGGGGAGAGTTTTTTCCATGGAAAAGGAGGGTTGGTGGGTGGAGATTTGACTCCGGGATTCTAAATCAACCCCAAGGGTGCCAGTATCCATGGGGTGAGGCGGGGGGGGGGGGGGGTGTCAAGGAAGACTCAGAAATTGTTGAAGCAACAACACAAAACAAAAACTACATTCTTATTAGCAGCATTATTTATATAGATGCATTATGTATGTTTCTATCAAGTTAATTTAAGAGTAAAATAACCAAAACTGAAGTATTTTCATATTGTCATATTAATTTTATCTCATCGCTTTAAAATCCAGGGGGTGGGGAGGGGAGGGTACTTGAAATGTTTTGAAATAGAAATGGGATGTGGCACAGCAAAAAAAAGGTTAAAGAATCCCTGCTATATAAACTTAACGCTTTTATCACATTCACATCATAATCATCTTGTCAAGTGCATGTGAGTGCCATTGTGCATGAGAAACTCACACAGTCAGTTATAGACTTATAAGCCTAAGCAATTTAGTAACGATTTAAATAAATTAATTAAATAAATTGATGGCTAATTAGTCTTAGCTTAGTCTTTTACTGAGTCTTACTATTAGTCTAGTCAATAAATAGAAGTTAACACAATATGTTGTTAAAATATTTCATGTAAAATATCTTATTTTAAAATAGTTAAGTACATTGCGTGAAATTTTATTGATATTTTATTTTAATGATTTAATATTTTATCGCATGATTCTTGACTTACTTTAGGCTTTACATAAATGTGAGGAATATACAAGAATTACAAGAAACACCACCATACCATTCAATGATATAGACCTAGTATGTTCTATGTATAGGCTAATTTAAATTTGTTAAAGTAAATGAATTAGCCTACTACTTGCTGAAGCTGCGAAGAGTTTTTATTTTAAAAAGTCAACCCAAAAAAAAAAGAGACTCAAAGTGAGATCAAGAAAATAAATACTGCCATCACCAAGATGGAGTATGAGAAAGTTGGACTTCTCCATGAACAGTTTGTCAGACAAGCTAAAGCTACACCTGATGCCATAGCTGTGGTCAGTCCAGATGGTGAGTTGAATTTCTTTTTCCAATTAGTTTTTGATGCATCATTTGAGAATTTTTTTTACAAGTTTTTAAATTATGATATATTGGGAATTATTCAGCATTATGCATTTTTAAGTTCACCCTTACATCACATCCCCAATCCCCAACTTCTCTTACTTTGTCTGAAAATAGCATTAAAAGACTTTTTATGGTTGAATGCATGCCAATATCATTAAAAGACTTTTTATGGTTAAATGCATGCCAATAGCTTTAAAAGACATTGTACAGTTGAATGCATGCCAATATCATTAGAAGACTTTTTATGGTTGAATGAATGCCAATAGCATTAAAAGACTTTTTATGGTTGAATGCATGCCGATTGCTTTAAAATACATTGTATGGTTGAATGCATGCCAATATCATTAAAAGACTTTTTATGGTTGAATGCATGCCAATAGCTTTAAAAGACATTGTACGATTGAATGCATGCCAATATCATTAAAAGACTTTTTATGGTTGAATGCATGCCAATAGCTTTAAAAGACATTGTACGATTGAATGCATGCCAATATCATTAAAATACTTTTTATGGTTGAATGCATGGCAATGGTGTTAAAAGATTTTGTACAGTTGAATGCATGTTGATAGCATTAAAATACAATGTTTGGTTTGATTGAGTGCGTGCCATATCTTTTTGTATTCTATTACAAACGAATTACAAGTTATCCTATAACTTACAATTTCAGAAAATGCAAGTGTCACATTTGGGCAGTTGGATAAATGGACAGACACACTGTCCATCACACTGCAGGAGCTGGGTGTCCAAGCAGAAACGTCAGTTGGAATATACTTGGAGAAAAGTGTTGATTTTGTGGCTGCTTACATTGCTATACTCAAAGCAGGTATGAAACTGATCATCATAAAAGCTTTCAAAACTAGCTCAGCCAATTTGTCCTTCACTTAAATCACCAACAGTGAAATATATTGTAAAAATTCACTTTGTTTGAGCTTAAAAAATGAAATCACAAATATCGTAATTAGAATATGTATAAATGGCTGATAAAAGGCCTTTTGATCCATTCTGTTATTTATTTTATGTATCTTCATGAATTTTTTTCCTGTAACAGGTGCTGGCTATCTTCCCCTCGACACTTCATACCCTACCCCTATGCTAGAGTCTGTACTACAGGACGCTGAACCTATCATTGTTATAGCAAGTACAGACTTGGCACCCAAGATTGACACCTATCCATGTAAGATAATTTTGTTAATGATTCTCCTTTAACAATGTGATAATGTGATCATGAAGTAATGCCCACTATTTTGTAATGACTAGTAAAAATGACCCAACTAATATGTCTCCATCTGCAAATAAGACTTTTTAAGGAAGAGTATTTTCTTAATTTAAAAGTATAAATAACTGATCTAATTGCTAGGGGTAGCAATTTTTACTAAGGTAAAGTCAGTTTTTTCTGTTAAAATTTTTTTTTTAGGATTAATGACAACTATTGGAACAAATTTTTTTTTAGCCAAGCAGGTCCTTGTCTTGGAAGAGGGATGGCAGATCAAGTTTAAACAAGAAAATGATGAGAAAAATGCCACTTTAAAAGACCCAAAAACCAATCTGGATAGTTTGGCCTACACTGTGTACTCCTCTGGAACAACTGGCAAACCCAAAGGTACATTTAATATTTTGGCATTGTGCATTATAATTATTTAAACAGTACATTTAACTAGATGGGATACTAAAAAAAAATAAAAGATGTTTATATTTTTATATTTTAAAATATTGACTAAATTTATATTTAATTAAAGAAACATTGTTCTTTGATTACCCATTTAGCTATATTTGCAGAATTGACATTTTTTAAAACAAGTGACAATTTTTGTTTTGATAATATACATTTTTTATTTTCTTTGCATGTTTGCACACATAAAAATATTTTTTTTAAAAATCAAGATTTTGTTCTTCAAGGAAAGCATTTCTTTATTTAAGGTATAACATGCCCGCAGAGAGGAGCAGTTTACTCATACCATCACAGACACACCCACTTCCCTTATGAGGAGGAGGAAAGAGAGGCCTGCAACATATTCTTTGTATGGGAGATGCTGCGGCCCCTTATGAAGGGTGTCCCCATGTACATCATGAGCAACCATGTGGTGTACGACCCCCCGCTGCTGTGCGAGTTCCTGGCCAAGCACAGGATCACTAGAATGCTGTTCACCCCCAGTCTACTTGAAACGGTGGTCAACACAATACCACCTGATACCCTCAAGGAGTCCTTCAAAACTGTCAGGTAAAAACTAAGATTGGGCTCTGCCATTTCTGGTCACACAAGCAGACCTATTTACTCTAACGAGTTTGGCGTACAATGTACGATTTTGAGGTGTATACATTATATATACTGTATATTTATTTTTTACTAATAAATATAAAGTATAGAACAATTTTGTGATAATATTGTACGATTTTAAGAGTTTGAGGGTAAACAGTTCTGCACAAGCAAAGATATTCATTGATAGAGCTAAACATAATTATGGGTTAATTGAAAATAAGTTTTTCAAGATGGGTGAAGTTTAGTTTGAAATTCATACTACATAGAAAATGCTTTTTATTTATTTAGCTCTGAAAATTAATTTCCTGCAGAGCAAGTATTGATGTATGTGAAAGTATTATTTTATGGTATATTCATGTAAAATGAATGCACAATCTATATAGAATCTGTCTCTAGACAGGTATGGTTCTGTGGTGAAGTAGTGACAACCTCCCTTCTAGATCGTTCTATGACAAACATGCCCTGGATACGGTTCATCAACCTGTACAGTATATCAGAGTGCCATGATGTTGCCTGTGAGGATTTGAGTCAGTACTACAGAGATTTTAAGGTAAAACTTTTGTGCCGTTGTTTTAAACTCTTTCCTCACGTGAGGTTTCTCTGCATTTTGACTGAAATCAAAATACAGGAGTCTGAAAAATAAATTCATGTACCAGACAGAAAACATACACTAACTTAAACACAAATAACCTGAATACTTGTTTTTGGTAGCCATGGAAGAAAATGAAAGGAGAGCTGATATTTACAACATTTATTAAGTATGAGTTAGTTGGCAGTCGTTGGAACACAAACGTCACAGAAACGACCAACTTACCTCAGAAATAGTTTTATTTAGTCTAGGGGTGTGCCGGACCCCGGTCCGGAATCCGGTTCCGCCGGATTTTGCACTATCCGGTGAAATCCGGTTCCGCCGGATTTACATGTATCCGGAACAACCGGAATCCGGAATATACCGGATTTCGGAATTTGCCAGATTTTGTGACTCACCGGATCATAATCTGAAATAAAAGTAATTCTCTTTCCCGAATTTCACACGATCACGATACATTAATCGATTGTTTCGAGCGTTGAGCTTGTTTAATGTTTAATATTCCGTACATACCAGAGGCTAGAGTCAGCACCGCTAATAGTGGCCAATAGTGTAGGGACTTTGATAAGAAAATTTAAACTTTTTGTAAAAATAAACCAATGGCATAGTTGAAAAGATGTAATTTTTTAAAGAATTATAACACCAAAATCATATTTTTAGCTGTTGTAGTTTTAAAGTTATGAATTTTTAAAGTACGACTTGGTTTGTCATTTTTTAACATGGACTGCATCTCCACATTCTGTGATCTCATTCCACCAATCCCGTCATGCGCAATGACTATATAGTTTATATAAGGCAACGCATTCCCTGCCTTATCACTAAAATACTGTTTAGACTTAGTTTAAACTTTCAACTTTGGCACATGAATAATTAATTAAAGCTTTCCCTGACCAATGGTTTAATAGTTTTTGCACACGGCAAACTCTTATGAATGAAACTCTGAGGTAGTACTACGATACAGTTATGCAAGTGGCTGTGAATGGTTGCCAATGACAACGTGTTGCACACGGTAAATTCTGATCATTTATAATATGGATTCTACCGGGTTGTTAAAGCTCAAATTAAAACATTCCAGTTTAAATGTCTTTAAATGCATTCTGAAACACAAGTTATCAATTATTTTGATGTAAATAGTGATAATAAATTAATATTTCCTAAGTATCGTCAACTTCCGCCATTAAAAAGGGGGGCGTGGCCAACCCCATGGCGAAATTAGGTTGAGCGAGCTGCATAACCTGCTGCGAACGCGTAGAAACATGGCGTCTCTCGTAAGACACTTATCCAAATGGAACGGAACTCAAATATATATCGAAAGTACTAATTTAATAATAAATAGACACACACATCGGAAAATTAAAAACTCGGATTTTTTGGCGCCGATTGCGAATTCCCATACACAAAAAGTAGTAGTCCACCTTGACTTACCGAAGTATCTACCAATAGTACCAAAATCCGGAATCCGGGAGAAACCGGAATCCGGATCCGGCGGATTTCGCATAAGAAAATCCGGATCTGGTTGGAAAAAACGGATCCGGCACACCCCTAATTTAGTCTTCCCATCACTAATATAAATGGAATAAATGATTCTCAGACATGTTTCTTTAATGGTACCTCATATTTTCACTTTTCCCTAACAGAAACAGGAGTGCCAGTTTAATATATCAGTGCAATAAATATGGAGATAAACTGAGTAACACAAACAAAACAGAAAATAGTATCTCTAGGATCTGTGTCTGTTTTAAATACTAAGCAGTTTTGAAAGCCAGTATATTGGCACTCAGTATGAAGAGCATTAAAAAAAGGTTTTGGACCAAAATGTGCTAAATTTCAACAATTACTGGTATGTTTTAAAAAACTTATCAGAAGAATATTTTGAAACCCTTTAAATCTTTTTTGAAGCATTTTAAAAATAAAAATGATTAAATCCTGTTTCATAAATATTGAGACATGTAATTAAGGAATTTTGACATTGGTTTTAGCTTTCAGTCACACAACAAAACTGGTGACATCTAGCCTATGGCATTTAAATGTGACATTCCTTTGACAGGATTCCTTGATGTCCAGGAAGTTTTGCCCAGTTGGCCATATCATGGAAGGTGTGGAGATTACCATTTTAAATAAAGAGGGCAAAGTTCAGCCTGTTGGAATGTCTGGAGAGGTCAGTATTTATTAGGATTTAGTTCTGTTAGCTTATGTCACATTCAGTTGCAGAAAACACTGTTACAGGCTGAGTGAGAGAAAGCAATAAAATAATGGAGCCAATGAATTTAGCGGGGGAAAGATAGACAAAATGTGTTAATATAGATTGCAATTGATAAATTAAAAAATCAGAGGCGTAGCGTGGTGGGGGCAGGGGAGGACAGATGTCCCCGGGCGTCCCCGGGCGCCAGCTAGTTAGGGGCGCCAAATTGTGCTTTGATATTATTTTATTGATGAAAATAATGGGTTTGAGAGTTGAAAAAAAGAAAAGGGGCGCTAAAAATGGATCTTGTCCCCGGGCGCGAATCTTGTCCCCGGGCGCCAAACACCCTCGCTACGCCACTGTAAAAAAATACATATTTTGCTTCTTTAAATATGTGCCTATGCACATCCTATGTCTCACTGTATGCACTAGACATTTCATTGCATACATACTTCAGATGTCAAAGTGACACTAAAATATGAAACATCTCTTTAAAACTATAGATGTAAAATATTGGTCTGAGGTTACAGTAATAGACTTATCAAATTTAAAGTTTCAATTTCAAGGTAATTTAAGAACATTTTAAATCTGCTAATCCTAGCAGAAATAACATTTTAAATCTGCTAATCCTAGCAGAAATGACATTTTAAATCTGCTAATCCTAGCAGAAATAGTCTTCAGTTCAAATGATCAATATTTTTTATTGCTTAACAAATTTATCTCTTTTAATTCAAGTTTTCAAGTAACATTCCAAAACTTTAATCATAAGTTAGGAAGTGAACAAAATGAATTTTTTAAAGTAACAGTCAATTTAATTAATTGCTGTTAGTAAATTAGTCTTGCAGCAATTTTAAACAAAACAGAAACTGGAAGCAAAATAAATAAGAAAGTAAATCACTTCTGATTTCTTATACAGTAACCAGAATTTCTTTGTTCCACTCAGATCTATGTCAGTGGACCAACACTGGCCAGGGGTTACCTTAATCGTCCAGAGGTCCAGAAACAGCGATTTGTTTTCATGGATGTAGATGGCCAGAATAAGTGAGTTCCAAGTTTGTACAGAGAAAAACTGCAGGCTCAAAACTAGTTGTAGAGTAAAATTTTAGTTGAATGTTAAATATAAAATGTATTGAATTCTTCATACAACACAATTTGGGGAAATATTTTAAAAGTATTTAGTGTTTGCGAGCCTTATGCAGGAATTTTGAACATGTTACATCAACAAAATAACAGTCCTTTTTTTAATGAATTTAAAAATCTAATAATCAAAACAGGAAGAAAAAAAGATTAAATGAAGGAACAGCATTTTAGCAGATAAGTTATATACATTCTTAACATAGCAGATAAGTTATATACATTCTTAACAGTGTCACCAAAATGTTCACAACTATACAATACAATATTTTTTTTAATTATCCCTGCTGCCATGGCTAGGCGCATGTACCGTACAGGAGACTGGGGCTATATGTTGTCTGGTGGCAGTCTAGAGATATGTGGACGTGTGGATTCTATGGTGAAAATTAGAGGCTACTCTATAGAGGTTCAGGTCAGTTTCCATTTGGAATTTAAAGTTGTATGTTTTACTGGATTATGCTGCTGGGCTCACAATCAAACAATGAAATTTTATGCGGTAAAAAATTATGAGCTGTGTTTGTTATATCAATATTAGAATACTGTTACATCCTATTGGCAGTAAATGTTTTTTGTAAATTTTTTACATAATATTAAAATTTTAACTTTACCCTTTAAGGTAAATATATTTATATTTTGAAAAGCTTAACATATATTTTTCACTAGTTATTTCCATGAGTGCTTTTGAACAAGCTCACAGCAATGAGGATGTATTGGTGAATAGATTTTTGACAAAACAAGATGAAATTGCAAAACAGCTCATAATGTGCAGTGTCAGTTAAATTTAGATTGGTATGTTAACTTTACTATAGATGCAACCATTTTTGTTCTGGTAAAGTTATCATCTTTCTGAAATATGCTGTTATAGTTATCATCTCTGCAGTATGCTGGTATAGTTATCATCTCTCTGAAATATGCTGGTATAATTATTATCATCTCTGCAGCATGCTGATATAGTTATCATCTCTCTGAAATATGCTGGTATAGTTATCTCTCTGCAGTATGCTGGTCAAGATATGCTCTCTCAGCAGTATTCATTTGTTACTTATTCTGGCAAGCCAATTTAGAGCCTAAATTACTTATAAATAAAACATTTTTTTTTAAACAATAGGCAGTAGAGTCTTGTTTACTGTCCCTACCCATGGTCAAAGCTTGTGTTGTCCTAGTGCGAGGTGACGAAGGTGACGACAAGTTTCTTGTGGCGTATATCGTCAGTGAAAGGGAAACTACCAAAAAAGAGGTCAGAGCAGAACTGAAAAAGAGGCTGCCGTTTTATATGATCCCATCCTACTTTCTGTTTCTCCAAAGGTGAGAGGTCAAACACCATACTACTCATTTCTGCCATATCAACTGCATGTTTTAAATAACATTTCAATACTCATCCCATGATTATAATAAACTGAATACTGGCAACCATTTCAGCATTCCTGTGGTAGCAGCCACTGGCAAGTTGGACAAGTCAGCATTGCCAGATTTTAACTCTCAGCAAATGGAAGGTGTAGGCTCAGAAGGGAGACCTTCCACAGTGACAGAGGTCGCCCTTGCTGAAATCTGGATAGAAGTTCTGCAGCTGAAAGAGGTTGACATTCAGGAAAGTTTCTTTGACCTGGGCGGGTAATAACAAAATTTGGTATTACAGAATCTAGTCATTGATTCCATATCATCATTCGTGTCTTAGTTAAACATAAACTGGTCTATAAATATTGTATAATTAGCTTTCATGAACTTCACTGTATAAATAGCATTTTACAAACTTTTGGCTTGGCTTTATTAGAAAGAGAATAGTTTTACCAACTCATTGAAAACACATTCTATACTTTATCTGTTATTCAACATTGCATATTTGATCTATTATTCAACATTCCACATTTGATCTATTATTCAACATTCCATATTTGAGCTATTATTATTTAACATTCCATATTTGATCTTTTTATTCAACATTCCATATTTGATCGTTTTATTCAAAATTCTATATTTGATCTTTTGTACATAAAATTAGATCTAAATTCTCTTTACATTCAGTTTGTTCCAGATTTTTAAAAAATCTGACTTAAATTTGAATGTTAAAAATATTGCTAATAATTTTTCTCAAATTGTCCATTCATACACTGCACGTTTACTATTGCAGACACTCTCTTATGGCCACAGAACTCCTGCAGAGGGCCAGAAAGAAGTTCAAGGTTAACCTATCTGTACGTGACCTATTTCTGTACCCAACAGTTGCCAGCCTGGCCAAACTCATCGACGCCCGTTTGTTCAGCCAGGGCTCGGGTGACTCCAATGGTGCAGTGAACGGGGAAGCTGTTGAGCCTCAAGTTGACCTCAGGGCGGAGGTCATGCGTCATGACCAGGGAGTCACAAAGTAAGGCCCTTGCTCAGGTATCTCAACTCTGAAGTTGTTTGTTTTTCTCTAATTTTTTAAAGCACTGGAAAACATCCTTGTGTGGTTCAAATAAGTAAAAAATCTGCTTCAAAGTTAATGCTATTTTGTTGGGGGGTTCGTGGGAGATGCTGATCTTCTATCGAGCGCCTCCCCAGCCGGCGGATAGGGGAAAGCCCACCAGATATGGAGGGTACCGGGGATATAAAATACCCGGGGTGGACCAAAATCAGCCCTACTGCCTTGTAGGAAGTGGAGGGATCCACAAAGGCTAGGGACCTAACCCGAACAAAGGCAGCTACCCATTGAGCTGTGAGGGGCAACCCCCCAAGTGGTTGTGCGCAAGGCCAACAACCTTGCCATGTAAAAAATCATAGTTACAAAAGCACCGAAATGCTATTTTGTTGGGGGGTTTTTTTGTTACCAAAATATGCTTGCCTGAATTGAGCTTAGTTCTCATCTCATCTTTTATGACTTTAGGGTTAACATTTCTGCCTTTCTACCGCCATGTGTTACAGATCTAGTCAGTTTATGGCACTGAGCTAACCGCTGTTTTTCCTGTTTTTCATTTAGTCTAGACATGCAGCTGCGTGCTTTCTGGAGGACATTCCAACATGGCCACCATTTCCACCGGGGTCGTGTACTGCTGACGGGTGCAACAGGATTCCTGGGATCTTTCATCTTGAAAGAATTGCTGCTACATACCAAGGTAAACAACAAACAATCAGATTTTAACTCAAACTAAGGAAGTACTGTGAGTGAACATAACTCAAACTTAGGAAGTACCGTGAGTGAACATAACTCAAACTTAGGAAGTACCGTGAGTGAACATAACTCAAACTTAGGAAGTACCGTGAGTGAACATAACTCAAACTTAGGAAGCACCGTGAGTGAACATAACTCAAACTTAGGAAGTACCATGAGTGAACATAACTCAAACTTAGGAAGTACCGTGAGTGAACATAACTCAAACTTAGGAAGTACCGTGAGTGAACATAACTCAAACTTATGAAGTACCGTGAGTGAACATAACTCAAACTTAGGAAGTACCGTGAGTGAACATTTTCAGTTTGATCTGCTCTTGGCAGTATAAAAAAAAAATTGTGATATTTCAGTTGGTTGTCTACTGCCTGGTCCGTGAACTGCCCCAGAGGTCAGCCCTTGATCGCATTCAAAGCACACTCAGACAGTATGGTATATTGACCACTGACAAATCGACCGAGACAGAAGAACAAGCCCAGCTGGAGGAAGCTCTGGCCCAGAGGGCAACTGCACTAAGAGGTGAAGTGATGAGTCAGCAAGTACATGAGCCCATTGTCTAAATTAAACTATGTGTTTAGTACATGGATTTCTTCTTCTATCTGTATAATATAAACAAAGTGTTTAGAACATGGATTTCTACTTCTATCTGTTAAGAAAACTGTTAAATAAATTGAACCTACTCCTATGAATATTTGATCTATTTGTGAAACAAAGAGACACAAAAAAAAACAACAGATTCAGAGTTTTCAATATCAGAAATGTTCAGGTTCTTCAACATTGATCAATTGAACACTTGGAAATTTTAAAAGAATAATACTTATAGTGGATAAATAGTGGAACCATATATTTTTATGCTAGTAGCAGAAAGTTTATGGTGATGTTCCCCTTGTAGAATGTTTTTAACAAATTCCTCAAGACACAAAGAAGTTAATGAAGATTTATTGAATACCTATAATTTTACATTTGACATAATTTTCAGTTGACAAAGCAATGCCATTATTTTGTACTCTCCCCCAATGTCTCCAATTCTATGCCATCACATTAGATTGGATTTTTTGATCCAACAGGAAATGTATCTCTCTTGCGCCTGGGTTTAAGTGAAGAAGACTACACCTACTTGTGCACTGACATTGACTTTGTCATCCATTCGGCAGCTTCAGTCAACCTGGCTTATCCATACAGTGTAAGTGAACTACAGGTCAGGCTTATGTTTACCCTGGCTTATCCATACCGTGTAATTGAACAACAAGTGAGGCTTATGTTGACCTTTGTTAATCATGGATAGAGATCAGACACTTAAAACTGTACTGACCATTTAATAAAAGTCCTCTGACACTGAGGTAAATGCATGAAATAATTTTTTTGTGCCTGTATTTTAATATTTAAGAAAGAAGAAGCACACAGCGGGAACTGGGACCTTGCTGCTGTTAGGATGATTTTGGAATTAACATTTCTGTTCATAAAGTCAGATACCGGGTATTAAAACTATTACCTTATATGACAAAACAGAAAAGCAATCTTTGCAATAAGGAGAGCGCTAAATCAGTGTCAGCTGATTTTAAGCAGAGTTGAAGAATTGCATCAATGTCAGCTGATTTTAAGCAGAGTTTGAAGAATTGCATCAATGTCAGCTGATTTTAAGCAGAGTTGAAGAATTCCATCAATGTCAGCTGATTTTAAGCAGAGTTGAAGAATTGCATCAATGTCAGCTGATTTTAAGCAGAGTTGAAGAACTGCATCAATGTCAGCTGATTTTAAGCAGAGTTGAAGAATTCCATCAATGTCAGCTGATTTTAAGCAGAGTTGAAGAACTGCATCAATGTCAGCTGATTTTAAGCAAAGTTGAAGAATTCCATCAATGTCAGCTGATTTTAAGCAAAGTTGAAGAATTCCATCAATGTCAGCTGATTTTGAGCAGAGTTGAAGAATTCCATCAATGTCAGCTGATTTTGAGCAGAGTTGAAGAATTCCATCAATGTCAGCTGATTTTGAGCAGAGTTGAAGAATTCCATTTCTCTAATTACAATTTTTACCTTCTGAAGTTTGCTTTCCATTTTAAAAATAAATATTTCTTGCAGGCCCTGCACGGACCTAATGTGATGGGCACAGCCAATGTGATACAATTTGCCTCCACAGGAAAGGTCAAGGCCCTTCACTATATAAGGTGTGGAATTTTTTATTTATTATTTTTTTTTTTTTAAATAGCTCAAATTAATCACTAGTACTTTTTGACAAAATTCACCTCTGACCTATCCAGATAAATTCATAGTCAAACTTGTGTTCTAGCAAAACATAAACTAATTTGAGTTTGTTGGGATCAGTTGAGTTTGTTGTGATCAGTTGAGTTTATTGGGATTGGGGTCAGGGCTGATACACAATAAATTCTTAAAAATTAGTCCTCTATAATATCTTTTCTTAAAACTCACCATTATGTATGTATCCTTGGCAGCACAAACGGAGTTTTCCCCCACGGCATGCACAAGTGTAAGGAGGATGCTGACATCACCACATTTGTTGAGAAGCTGACTGATGGGTATTCCCAGTCAAAATGGGTGGCTGAGCAGTTGGTATCGAGAGCCAGAGATCGAGGTCTTCCCGTAACGATTTACAGACCAGGTACTTTTTTTCAATTTGTATCAATATTGCTCAAAGCAAAGGGAGGTCACTTTAAGGGGGAAAAAAAAAAAACTATCAAAGAATGAAACATATAATTAGACCAATAAGAAGGAACTTTTCATGAAATAAATCAAAAGAAATTTATTTCCTAAAAAGTCTATTCTATTTGGAATATAAAGTAGATTATATGAGAAAATGGAAGTTGATTAAAGTCACATAAAATCATATGTTATGCTAATGATTAATTAGGATTTCCTTAAAATATATTTTCATCAGTTTATTTAATTTTATTTTATTGTTGAATCTTGTAAATTTTTTTGATTTCACATATTGGTTATTCCTGACCAGAAATTTGACAGTTTGCTGCAATGTCTGTAAATTCAAAAAATAACATTGGCTTTGGTCTGTCCTACTAGGCAACCTGTCAGGTGATTCCAAGAAGGCCCACTGGAACCCCCAAGACTTCACCTTGTTGATACTGCAGGCATGTGCCAGGACTGGCTTGGCTCCAAATCTAGACTGGAACATGGAGATGACCCCTGTGGACTTTGCAGCCAGTGTTATTGTTAAACTGACCCAAAACCCAGACTGTGCCCTGGGCAAAACTCTGCACCTGGTCAATGACAAACCTATGAAATCCAAGTAAGAAATTTCCTACTTATAATATAGTATTTATTTTGAACTGACCAGGAACGTTGAGAAAACCGTATCCCATTGATCGACGGAAAATTGATCGACGGAAATTTTGTGTCAAATTTCATTTTTTAACGCATTATTTTGTTTTACAATATAGTATAGTGCGTTCAAAAAGAAATTTGCCTAAAATTTAATCATATTAACTGAAAATAAAAATTCTACCAAACTTCTGTTAGATCAAATTTCCGTAGATCAATTTTCCGTTGACGCAATTTCTTTCAAACAAATTTCCATCAACCTATGAAAACATCTTTATCACTGTGGTGCCCCCCCCCCCCCCCAAAAAAAAAAAAATACTTTCTCATCTAAAACCTGCTACTTTGCAGCTGGCTCCCTAAACATCAGCCTCAAAGGGTTAACACCACAAACATCATTTCATAGTTGGTGACATGTAGTCATTTAACAGACTCAAACACTATGTGTAACTACTAATTGTGTGATTGTGCTTTATTGATCCAAGGACAGAATACAATTTCAAATGCCCTCATCAGTCAAACAAAAACTGCTTGAATTTAAATTAAAATGTGTCCCACCTATGAAATAAAAGGTAAAAGAGGAAAAAGGGCGGACACAAGTCCTTCACAACAACAGCTTGAAGTTTATCACAGGTCCAAACCCTTTATATTTTGTTTATCATTTAATAAGAATGTAATTCTAAGATAATATTCAGTTTTCATTTCTTGTCCTTCTCTAGACAAGTGTTTCAATGGATGAACAGTCACGGGTATCCCCTACAACTCCTGGACTTTGATCTGTGGAAAACAAGGTATAACACCCGTTCCTAATTCTACAATTCCCATGATGATTGACAGAAGAGTAAAAGGACGGGGGAGGGACGTTGCTACAATTTTGAATGTCTTAGCTAGTTTTAGGATGTCAATGGGATGTCTGGAATCTTATGGACACAACTAAAACCTGCTTCTGAAGTTATCCTTAGAATTTTATTTCTGTTTCTCATAACTATCAGCGTTCTCTAAGTCTGTGGCCCAATTTCTCTACAGAGTTATAGAAGAGCTGGCATCCAGCAATGAGTCAAGTACTCCCAGCATTGAAGCAATGACGCCCGTGCTAGATTCTTACATCAGGTAAGGACAACCTGTTTTAAAAAATACAATTTTAACTTACACACACCATGTCTATCCGGTTCAACTTCACCAAGCTGAGCCCCCGCATGAACTGGTGCATTGTCAAGGTTACTAAGTCAAGATGGAAATATTTGTGAAGACGATGACAGATAATTTTGATTTTTTAAATTTCAGGGCTTCTCATTTCCTGACCGATTTGAGCACATTCAGCAATGAAACCCTTCAAAAGGTTCTCACAGAACTAGGAATGTTGTACCCTTACACTGATGCCCGTTTGCTACGCACATATTTCTCAGAATTGTCCGGGCGAAATGTCATTGGGAGAAGAAAGAGCACAAGCTGTGAGTAGTTCAACTCTAAGTAAATTTTACTGAATGGACAATGTGATCATTTATTGAAACAACACATTTAGCTATTAAGATTTTTAAAATTCAGTTGGAATTCATCAGCAATAATTTGAAACAACTAGATCTTCTATTAACTTTACATTGAAACAGCTAGATCATGTATTGATTTTACATTGGAACATCAAGATCTTGTATTGAATTTACATTACAACAAACTTGATCATGTATTGATTTTACATTGAATCTAGATCATGTGTTGACTTTAGATTGAAACGGCTAGATCATGCACTGCTTTTACTTTAAAACAACTAGATCATTGCAATTTGGAATTAAGGTTTTGAAATTAAAATAAAAGTTTTCATTTTTCAAAAAAATATCATTGTAATAAAATGTTAAAATATTTGGTTTAAAGCCTATATTATATTTAAATACAAAGTATCTTTAATTTAAAAAAAAAGGTTGTCCTAGAACCTGGTTGAGTTTATAAAGGGGAGCTAAATGGTGTCAAGTAGGAAAATTAATTCCAAAATTATAGATGTAGGAAAAGCCATACGAATGCAGCCAAAATTACTACAGTTTTTTTAAGCAGCACCCACACTCATAAAGATACTGAAAGGAAAAAGTTTCAAACTGATAAAGTTAAAATCCATTACAAGTAACTGACTCTGTTTGGTTCCTCACAATATTTGTTTTAGATTCATTGTAAGATTTGAGTTATCTACAGTTAGTTGTGTCCGTCAAGACTCACGATCTTATTTTTCACAGTAACTATACATATTATTTCACTTCCTGTAATCCTGGTTTTGGAAAATCCAACTCCCGGCAATAACAATGGCGATCACTTAAGTTTTTAACTAGTTTCTATTTCTTGTCATATTTTCATTTGCCCTGTCTGCTGAAGAAGCGTTCTCATCTTATTGTCCTGTCTTTCGATTCAAGCTTCCACATACGTTGTCCTACTATTTCCTTGAGTTATATCCAGCTGGTGACTCTGCAGCTGCACATGTAATGAATTTAATAAAAGAATTGATTTATCACACCACACTTCTTTCTTCCCAGTGACTCGTCCTTTAGAGGGCAGGGTCGCTATAGTTACCGGAGCCTCTAGTGGGATAGGCCAGGCCATAGCCATCGTCCTTGCTGGTGCCGGTGCCAAAGTGGCATTGGCTGCCAGGAGTGATCAGGCCATGCAGGACACTGTGAAGAGTATTAAAGATGACGGCGGAGAGGCCATCGCCGTCAAGACAGATGTAACAGACAGATCTCAGGTAATTCTAAAGTTTGGTCAGTTCTTGTGAGTCAATAGAAAACTGCAGAGCCATTTCTGGCCTGAGAAAACATTTACAAATTTTCATATTAAATATTTTTGCCCTTCTTTGTTATTAACCATTTATTAAATGTTCAAAATGTATTCTTTACAATAATGTATGAGAGAAAATAAAACCAACATCAAATTATGTTGTTATCATTATTAACCATAATAAAAACAAGGCAGCAACATATTTTTCTTGATGTAAATTCTGAGGTCTTATGTTTGTCTACATTTTTTTTTTTTAAAAAGGGGGGGGGGAATAATATACGTTGTATTTATCAACTTGAAAAATGGCTTCTGGCAAAATGGAATTTAAAACCAATCAATGCGAGAATTACCAGTAATTTGCTTATACAAATTCAAGCCAAACCATGCAATAATTGTAAAAAAAAATATTTGTCTGTTCCTAATTGTTGAATCTTGATTGATTTAACAGGTGAAAGCTTTGGTCAAACACACAGAAGCAAGTCTAGGTGCAGTGGACATTCTGGTCAACAATGCAGGAGTCATGTACTACACATTGATGAAAAATCTCCATGAAGACGAGTGGGACAGACAGATAGATGTCAACTGTAAGGTAAGACTGAGGATGCCATGAGTGTCAACTGTAAGAGAAGACCGACAATTCCATGAACGTTTTTATTAAAGAGCCGGGCTGTCATGAATGATATTGGTGCAGTGCTTGATGGGATGTTAACTTTTGTTTCAGGGTGTCATGAATGGTATTGGTGCAGTGCTTGATGGGATGTTAAAACGAGGACGGGGCCACATTGTCAATATATCCTCAGATGCTGGGAGAAAGGTTTGTTCTATGCCCAGTGTTCATTCAAGCATGCTATCATTACTTTCTGTGATGTTACTCATTACTTTCTGTGATGTTACTCATTACTTTCTTTGATGTTACTCGTTACTTTCTGTGATGTTACTCATTACTTTCTGTGATGTTACTCATTACTTTCTGTGATGTTACTCATTACTTTCTGTGATGTTACTCGTTACTTTCTGTGATGTTACTCATTACTTTCTGTGATGTTACTCATTACTTTCTGTGATGTTACTCATTACTTTCTGTGAGCTGGTAAAGAGCACAACTGTTTAATTTATTAGCTCATTTTAAATGAATGCTTAGAGGTGATTGAAGGTACATTATAGTAGAGTCCTTAGAGGTGATTGAAGGTACGTTACAGTAGAGTCCTTAGAGGTGATTGAAGATACGTTATAGTAGAGTCCTTAAATGTGATTGAAGGTACATTACAGTAGAGTCCTTAGAGGTGATTGAAGGTACGTTATAGTAAAGTCCTAAATACCTTACCTAAACCGGATCAATGTGAGTTTGACTTATAGGGAATCAATGATTACCCACAACTGTCATAAACAGGTTGAGAAGTATAGATCAAAAAGATTTGTTTGCAGAACATGTGCCCTTCCCAGCTACTGCTTCAGGGGTGCGCTTACATGGGCTCTACAAGAGATATAATGTATCTTGACATCAACAGCTATAAGGAGCAGTTTATGTTTTGTGTAGAGCCGCAGAGTGTGGCTGTTTGTCATGTAAAGATAATTATATGTGATCTATTTGTTTTATGATTTGAAATTTACTTTAAAAACTACTGTGAATTTAACATTTCCAGGCTTTTCCTGGCTTGGCTGTGTATACTGGCACCAAGTTCTTTGTTGAAGGAATGTCTCAAGCCCTGAGACACGAGGTCGCTCATACTGGGGTCAAGATCACAACTGTACAACCCGGTGATGTTCAAACATCACTTGGTGCCACAGCTACTGATACAGAGGTCAGTGATATTTTTTTTATAAGAGTACAGTGCTCAGCATTTTTTCTGCTATAGATGATAGAATTCAGCCATCAATAGCATATAAGTAAATTAAGGAAAATCTGTATCACTGCTGCACATTTTTTGTTCACTTGTTGGAAAATTGAAATAAAATAACTACCGGAAAAAGATACAGGCATATTTTGTGATATAATTCCAATATTCACAATTTTTTATTAGGATTACATAACTATTTATTAATAATGGTTTGCCAAAAAACTGAATCAGCATTTTACTTCACTGTCTAATGTACATATTAGTTTTTTTTCTCATCAACTGAATGATAATATGAACAAGGTTGAGGTTAATGTTTGTTGCCATTTTGGTTAGAAGTGTTTGTACTAAAAGCAATCTTCTTAATTTTAGAGGTATTTTAATGAATAGAATGCACAGCATTTTTGTGGCAAGTGAATTATTTTATTCTAATAAAAACATGTCTCTTTGCTTGTATTTTTTGTTTTTGTTTTTTAAGTTTATGATTCGTAAACGGAATAAAACACTAATAGAAATTTGTTTAAAGACCATAATTTGTTTCACACAGGCGCTTACGATGTACGGAGGTGTTGCAAAACATCAGTTTCTTGATTCCAACGATATAGCCAGAGCTGTGTTGTATGCCGTCTCCCAACCCAGGAATGTGGCCATTAATGAAATACTCATTGAGCCCAGGGAGGCACCTGTGTAATGGAACACAGATGAATCCAGGATTGACCAGGGGCAAGAAGTTGATCAATCATTTATTCTGTTAGTATGTTTTCTTTTGTCACCTTAAAATGTACTGCAATAAATTGGAGTTTAAAAATAGCCAGCAAAACAACTCTCTCTTGTGGGAAATGGTTTAATGAAATGTTCAGAGATAACTGTTTAAACCAATGTTTCTCAACCTTCCTAATGCCGTGACTCTTTAATACAGTTCCTCATATTGTGGTGACCCCCAACCATAAAATTATTTTCATTGCTACTTCATAAATGTGTTTTCTGAAGTTCTTATGCACAGGTTGAGAACTTCTGGTTTAAACAGTAATTCCTCCTGATGGTACATTCAGCTGATAACTTTACAGTATCATTCCCCACTTATTTTTGTTAATTCAATGATGTTAGTTTTATTTGTTGTTCTTAGATTCCATGTTTACATTTCTGTTGTATCTTTAAGATTTACTTTGAGCTCTTTGTGGGCCTTTTTAACTTTTTTAATGTACATTTTTGGTCCCCTTCCCTGCTATTAATATAAAAATCTGATTTTAATTACAGAAAGTCTCTTTGTTTTGTTTTTTTTGGTAAGTTTTTGTGGGCTTCAAGACTTATGTTGTGGTCCATGGGCACCCGCAGAAAACTTTCTTGGGGGGGGGGGGGNGCGTATTTGTATGGTGAGCGACGGTGAACGAACGGACAGGACATCAGCTCAGTTACTTTCTCTTTATTTTCTCTTTTCTTTAATACATATTTTGTCTAAAAAAAATTTTATTCAATCAATCAGGGGGCCCCCCCTTGCCCCCCCCCCCCTTGCAGGCGCCCACGCTGTGTTCCCATGGTTGCAATGTGGGCCACTTTGGCAAATACTGGGCTATACTTTACAAATAGCTTAATCATGACAAGCTGATTTTATTTTGGAGTTTGTGTTGTGTAAATTTTGATTAAAACTTTCTTAGCATTAGATAAATATGCTTGTTGTACCGTTTCCATTGGTTTTAAATAAAAAAATTGCATAACTAATTTATTGAAGTGGATTGAACTGCCAGAATTATACTGTTATTTCACATATTACCCATAATGTGAACAATGAATATTTTATTGACACTTACAGTCTCATGCTTGAAATGCACAAGTTAATACATTATAGTTTATAATTGAACAAATATTTAACCCATTCCTACTTATTGGATTGTGCAATAAGGACACTGCCCAGAGCATTTCTATATGAAAACAATGACATCAATTTAACATGAAGTTTGTGCAATTTGTTATTTTTTCTTTTAAAAATGTTAAAATGTGTACTTTTTTTTGTTGAAAAGGGCAAAATTTTAATAATTTCATGTTTCGAAGTCTTTAATGTTATATTATTATTAATATTTAGGAATTTTTTTTTATAGCGCTTTCCTTACAGCTGTAAGCGCTTTACAATCATTAAAAATATGTAAACTCTTTTTGTTTTTTAAGTATTCATTCACCACATTTGTTAAAAACATTTTGATGGTGGCTTTATTAGTTCAATTTTCAATGCCCTCTTTGTTTAACATTTAGAATGTCCAGAACATTTTTTTGATTGCATATTATGTTTTAGTCAGCCAAAAATATGCTCTAAATCTAATCCTGCTTTATCGCATGTTTAGTATTTAATGTGTTAGATTATGTTACATGATGTTATAGAAATTCATGCACTGCCATACAAATTATATTTACTTGTTAGACATAATGGAAAATGTTACATCAGTATTTGATTAGTTCATTCTATTAAAAGTCTTTGGCGAAAATTGTGCCGATGTGTTCTGTTTAAATAAATAAAATAAATGCAGTGATGAGCATTTGATATTTGTTTGAATGTTACTAGATGGAAAATGATATTGAGTATTTCTTGTAAGTAACAAAATCTTCTTCAACAATGCATTGGTATTATTAAAGTACATAAACCCTAACAGCCAAATGGACAAGAGGTGTAGAGCTGTTACCATATAAGTAAATAGATTGATCAGTTCCTGAAACATACAAAATGACCCAACATGAGATGTAAACAAAGAATTTATTTCATAATTAATACTGTGCAGAAAAAGAAAGTTAATTAAAGGATTAAATAGAAAAATTGTTGGTCTAATGTACAAATGTAACCACAGATTTAACATGAAACATAATCAATAGAGAGTTTAAAAATAATTTCAAAGACAAAGGTTTGCTCTGCCAATTTTACCATTCTTGAGAACAGGTCTAAAGTTTTATTTGTAAATAGATACAAAAAAGCAAGTCAAAAGATTTATTTGAAAATATATCGAAAAGTTAGAAAATTGTGAAAATGAAGTAAAATAACTTTCTGTTAAGTAAAGAGGTTTCTAAAACGATTGCACTAAGATGAGTATTTAGTATTCAAGAGAGGCGTCAACAAAGAAAATTATGAACTTTAATCACAATGTTCATCAATAGATCAGCAAGCATTAAGTGATTTTTAAATGGAGGTTTATTATTAAACCTGAGTCTTTTTAGCAGGTTAATTGCTACGGCAGTTTAAGCAGTCAAAAAATGTTTTAAAAAATTATTATTTAGTAGAAAAAATGTTTTATAATATTTAATTATTTCATGTTTTTTGTTTTTTTTTAAATGTTAATCAGTTAAGCACAAATAATATTTTCTTTTTTTCATTTTCCTTTCATCACAAACTGGTGTGTTTTCCAAGAAGTACCCTTGGAACCAACCACACAGCATCAATGATTATTAGAGATGTAGTTGGTCAGCAATAATAGTTCATTTGATAGATGTCATGGGGCAGAGCAATAATTTATAATAAGATAGATATTTCCAGAACAAAATATAACTATTGGCATTATGTTGGTAAAATAAAGGCACATTGTGATACAAAGTGGAATGTGTAAGTCAAATAAGTTATTTTGTTACCGGTACTGGTACAAAAACAGACCATGTGATGAGTTCAAGTGAATGAACTTTATTATTTTAACATTGTCAATGGGGGCCGACCATAAATAATGTCAGCTATTTTGGCAGATTTTTTTACCCGACTTTCACAAATTTGTCACACAATTTAGACACTTTAATAATACAAGGTCACAAATTCATGATTTCCTCTCTTCCCACCCCTAGGAACCTGGTGTTGTTTATGGATGACCTGATAGGATTCATTACAGTGCCAAGAATTACTTGTTTATCAATAACAGCAGGCTTTGTTCATTCTGACAGGATCTCTACATCTGAACAATGAAATTGTTAACATATAAGAACATGCATCACTGGTCCCTTTGAAGCTTGATTGATTCTACAGCCAGGGACCCCAGTAACCTCCATGTAGTTTGGGGTCACAGTCGGGTTCAGACTGCGGGTACTGAGGTGGGACGGCTGTGGAGTTGTAATATTGTAACCTGTCCAACATTCTCCTCACCTGGCCAACGTAAATATTGGACAGGTCGACAGCTTCACTGGGGTCTTCCTGGACATTGAACAGCCAGACATTTTTATCATCAGGAGCTCTGGGGTCTGGGAAACTTTGATTAAACTTGAGCAGGTGGGGCGGGGGATACCACTTGCCATCTCCTGGAAACATTGTGAACACAAGAATCATGAAAGGATGGGTATAGGATTGATATATATGAGACATGACTTTTTTAAAGAGTTTTAGTCAGAGCATAAAGCAGTTTATTAATTAGGAAATAGTTCAGCTTCTGCTTGAGGTTAAACATGACTTTCAAAAAGTTTTAGTTGGTATATGGTTTATAAATAAGGAAATAATTTAGCTTCCCCTTCGGTTTAAACATTTAGGCTACACCACAGTAGACAAAAGTCCTCACTCCTAACTTATCTTTAATGTAACCAAAGATGGGTCTAGAGGTTTTTAAAAATATGTTCTTTTAAGGGAGACACTAAGAGTTCCAATCAAAGGATGATTTCTTGACTGAACCTTTATCTATGTTGTCTTTGCTGCCAGGTTGTAAGCAATGTAAAGCATACATTCTCAATGGTTGCTGGAAACTATCAGTTCAATAAAACCAAGGGGGAGGGGAATGGGAATAAACCATAATAATCATATTTATCCAATATGGACAGTGGGAAGCACTGCTTGGGGTGTGGTGTAAATTAAAGGGGCCACTGGGACTACCTAAGGGATTGGCGTTGGATTCTATTAAAAATAACTTTAAAAAACAATGTAAAAGATATCAAATTTGACAATTATTTAAAATTATCTGTATTTAAGTAGTCATGAATATGCATCAGTCACTCGGTACAAGGGTCTGTTTACAACTAGAAAAATTTACTTAGCAAGACGTAATCAATCTACTGTACTGTAAAAAAAGTAGCGAATGCACTTTAAATAGGAGCCTGACATAATTTTATACACACTCACTGGAAGCATGCAAGAGTCAATTTTTCAAACAATTTATAGAAGGCAAATTCTAGTCAGAGATGGCCATCAAGCTGACAAGTAAACTCTACCTACCATTATTTCACGTTATGTCTGTCTTTCAAGAAAGTTTATTAGTCTTGATTCAGAAGTCAAATAAATCGCATTTTTATAAGAAAGAGCGGTACGACTGTGTATTAGTTTGCTTATAAATGAGTTTCGCGACTGTGCATTAGTTTAACTGCTTATGAATGAGTTGTGCGACTGTGCATTAGTTTAACTGCTTATAAATGAGTTGTGGGACTGTGCATTAGTTTAACTGCTTATAAATGAACTGTGCGACTGTGCATTAGTTTAACTGCTTATAAATGAGTTGTGCAACTGGGCATTAGTTTAACTGCTTATAAATGAGTTGTGGGACTGTGCATTAGTTTAACTACTTATACATAACAAAAACTAACTTCCCCATCAAGAACAGGTTGTTACCATGTTTTTTTGTGTGTTTTTTAAAAGTACCGGTATCTAATCTTTTTATTTTGTATTGTTTCATTCATGACCCAACACTGGTGGTTAAGAAATGTAAGTTTATATTGACTTTCACAAGGTGAATGTGAAAGTCATTTTTTTAAGCTATTTGACACTGGAATTAGTGGAATTGGAATTTGTTATAAAGACGAATGCTTCTCTCAATGCTGATTGCCAAAGTCATTTGACATGACTTATTTTTTGCCAGAAATGTTTGTAGATTTTAATGAAATAAATTTATGTTTGCCTGGGAGATGACGTCAATCTTAAAATTATTAAAACCCAATAACTTAAATTGAAATTCTAGATTGGATGATAAATCCATCTTTAGTTACAGATGCATTTGGCTATTTTAATGAATAGCTGATTCAAAGCTTAGGTAATTGTACTTTTAGATTTTGCTTCAGAAGGTTCTATGTTATTATTATGCATTGTGAAAAGTGGTCAGAAAGCTCAAGAAATGTGATTAATATTTTTGAACGTTTTGATTTAAAAGTGTTCTCAGGTTACCTTAAACCAGACATTGAAGAAATGGCATTATTTTTACTAAGCCCATCCAAGGCATGCATTACATTAAGCCTATTTAAGTGAAGTAGAAGTAAGTCTCTGTTACCAAGCGGCTAATCATAATTGTAATTTGAAAAAGCTGTAGTATTAACGGATCATATTAATCAATCTATCTCTGAACTAATTAAAATCATTAATTTTAATTTAACAGTCAGTTACATCAAACACTGTTAAATTTTATTCTGTTGCCATCTTTCTCACAGAGCTGCCCCTTACTACTGTCCTGAATAAAATCAAAAGTGGGTCACACAGGAGGGAGGGAGGAGGTAGGGGGTGATTTAATGCTGGCCAAAAATAAATGTTTGAGAAGCACCGGTTTACAGGTTTATATACAAAATAGATGTAATTTACCCGGGTTCCCAGTGATCAGCTTGTAGTCTCCCACACGTATCGCAGCCCGTACACGGGTGTCAAATGTGTCCTCAAACAACCTCTTCCCTAGGAGAGGCTCCAGGATGTCAATGTTATGAAGAATTTCTTCTCTTTCACTTCTCTTTCCTTGGCTAAAATACACAAAATTTGAGGGGAAAGTGATAGGAGGACATTATTCTCAATGTGTTTTTGCAAGACTGTTTTGAACAGATATCTTCAAACAAGAAATTCTGTGTGACCAAAAAGCGACAACAAAAGTAAAATACATACTTGATCATTGGCCACTGACTGACTCCATCAAGCTTTAAGCTACTGTTGACCTTTGCCCCTACCATGTCAGCAATTGTGGGGAACCAATCAGAGACATGCATTAGCTCCTTGCTGACCATGCCCTGCTGTTTGACCAGAGGTCCTGTAACAAACCCTATTCCTCTGACGCCACCCTCCCACAAAGTGTGTTTGTAACCTCGCAGAGGCCAGTTGTTTCCCCCTGCATTGACCTCCCCTCCATTATCTGAAAGTAAAAAATTAACGGAACATGAGATAATACAAATAATAGGGTAAGAAGGTCAATTAAAATTTCAAATGGTAACCTTATTAGAAATGTTTATTAAGGAATGTAGTTATAGAGAGGGTTGTAACACTAACCACCCCTTAAGCTCAGCTTCTGAACATTTTTATTGCCTATATAAATGTTACTCAAGTAATAATTTTGTACTTCAGATTTTATTTATAACTACTTTCATTTGGGGATTGTATTTATACACGTTCATTGTAAGAAAATATTGACTTTTTGAAAACATTGATTTTTTTTTTTTTTTAAATTAAAAAAAAATAAATGACTTTTACGTAAAGTCCACTACCATTCTCCCCTTAAGACTTTTGTCCCATTTTTAATCAATAAAAATATTAAGAAATTCATTATTTTAGGAAAGATTTAGTTTAAAACTACAGAATTCTAATTATATTAGCTTTTGAAACTCAAAACATTTCATATTGGCTAACTATTTACTGACTTTACCTGTAGAGAAAATGAAAATTGTGTTGTCCCAAAGTCCAGCGTCTTTCAATGCCTGGGTCACATTTCCAACTCCTTCATCCATACAACTGGTCATTCCTAAAAACAAATTTTCAGCCATGATATATAAATGTGATATCATCACTTAAGGAATCATCACCCCGTGGAATATCTAACACTACTGTGTTGTTTTTCTCCGTGAGTAAATTCAGGATGAAAATAAAATAAATGTAACTGCAACAAAACAAAGCATGCTTTAGTCACATGTGTTTTAGACATGTCAAAAATAATTGAGAAGGGTGGTAGGATTATCCAACACTAAAATAAAAGACAAATACACTTCCCAACATTACAGGACAACAAAAACATCGATGCAATTTTTTTATAGTTAATAATTTAAAATAACAAGCCAGTAACCAATTCAAGTTATTTAATGTTTGATTTCTAAAGTTCCAGGAGGATAAAAAAGCAAAAATAATGCAAATGAAGTATTTCTCCTCTGTGTTGAAAATTCCAAAGTATTATATTCCTCATGAGCAATAAATTGTGTGTCAAACCTGCATAAATCCTTCGGTTTTTGTTCTGAATGTTGGCGTAAGGAGTAAGATATTTAAGTGGGACTTCCATCGGTGAGTGAACAGCTTGGTAGGCCAGGTAGAGGAAGAATGGCTGGTGAATGTGAAATGAACTCATATCATTAACATGACAATTCCTCTGTGACAGATCTCTTGCCTATTTTGTAACGTTGAAATTCTTTGTTAAATTCTGTAAATACGCTAATTTTATCATTAAGGAATACCAATATTTGAATTTTAATTGTCTGGCGTGTAGAATATTTTGAAATTTGTTTCTAAAAAAATGTTAATTTTTTATATTATTAGCTTAAAAAAGCTTTCTTATCAAAAATATTTTAAAAATTTACTAAACTACTAAACTAAGATGAATAAATTACCTTCTCAGCAATCCTTGCTTGATTAATGACATCTATAGCTTTCTTAGTGTAAAGATGTGTCGAATAAGTTCCATTCATATTTGTTACTGGTCTATCCATATCCCTGAGATCATATCCACACCACTGGACTGCTTTGTCATGTGTCCCAGACGAGATATCCTTTGGGGAATAACTTCTAGTGATAGTGGGACCCTCATCAATGGTTTTATTGTGAAAGGTGTCACAGTTGTAGTAGGTGTAGTAATCTTCGCCACCCTCCCAGTAGCCTGCAATAGTTAAAATGTTTATAGAGGAAAAACTAATTCATTATGGCTATGATTTTAGTTCAATTGAAAATAGAAATTTATTAATCAATGTTGTAAAAAAAAAAAAACTAAATGTTGTGTTAAAAGATAAGCATGAACTTAAAGAAATAAAAAAAATTCCTGACCACAGATTCAAAATTCAAAAATATTAGTCACACTCAAATCAATCACAAAAGAATTGTGCAGTTAATGTTTTTTTGTGATTCCAGTATTAGTTTTCTCAATTAAAAATATCTTTGTTGAAAGTATTTCTACATATTATTTTGTATTACAAATATGTGTAATAATACATTTATAGCTCATTTAAATTATGCATGTTAGAGAAGCATACTTTGAGTATTTAAAATAACCTCTTTAACTTACTTATGAAATTTAATTAAACCTTTAATCAAGCACTCACCATAAAATGTGTCGAATCCTCGGTTTAAAGGTGTGTATTCTTTTTTGTACAGGCCAAGGTGCCACTTGCCAACAGCATGAGTTGAGTAGCCCTGGTCTTTTAAAAAATTGGCCAGTGTTGGAAATTCCAGAGGTAGGCCATATGGCTGAGATGGCCAGATGATGTTATGTTGAAGACCTGTGTGGATCTTATGGAGGAAAAATACAGTTATGGCACCATAGCTTCATGAACAGATTTCAAATAAATAAAAAGTAGGCGTAGAATAAGATAAATATACAGTTTTAAGGAACTATGAGCAATCAATTTCTCTTTAAATGATTCGATGTAAGACTGGATGCAAAATTAAAAAAAAAAAGCAGTGATGGAATGAGTGATGGTGAATGATACCTGGTATCTTCCAGTCATCAGTTGGCTTCGGGTTGGTGAACAAATGGGTTGGACATAATAGTTCTCTAATTTGACCCCCTGAGCTGCAAGTCTATCAAGATTTGGTGTGGCAATCTCAGCTCCATGGTACCCAATGTCATGGTACCCATAATCGTCAGCAAACACAAAAACAATATTTGGGCTCTTCTGACATTGCACAACTATTTTATTGTCAATGAATAACAAGATCCACAAGCAAAGGGGATAACTCCAACGTCCATGCATTATGGCTCATATTTTGATAGCTGAAAAAAGCAATTACTGTTAGCCTTCAAAAATGCAGTATTGTTGAGTTCATAATGCTTGTTATGCCTTATGACTAGCACTCTAAGTATTTATTGAAAATAAAGCTATTTAAAAAAATTGAAACCTTAGTAGTTGGATGGGATAAATAATAAAAATACAAATTTAATTGTATACTGTAATGTATAATAAATTTACTTAAAACAAAACAAAAATAGCTTTTAGGTCTAAGATCCATCATGCCCATTATAAATTTTATCTCATTACAAAATTTAGATGTATATATATATATATATATATATATATATTAATAGGACTGGTACATGGGCGCCCGCACGTAGTGGCAAGGTGGGATTGATTGGATTGATTGGATAAAAAAATTTTAGACAAAAATATACAAAAAATTTATTAAAATAAAGAGAAAATAAAGAGAAAGTAACTAAGCTGATGTCCTGTCCGTTCGTTCACCATACAAATACGCTACAGTAAATTAAAACTATATTAAAACATTACTAAAAAATTTTTTGCCCCCCCCCTGGAAAGTTAATTGATTTTTTTTGCCCCCCCCCCCCTAGAAAGTTTTCTGCGGGCGCCCATGGCTCTGGGTACTCGCCCAGGGCCATGAGTCACATGGGCTGGTATATAAACTTGACTCTAGACTAGACAAAATTTGAAAATACTAGTAATTAGTAAGTAACCATTAATATTAATTTACTTCAAAGGCCTAGCCTTGTGATTGTAATATTACCCATATTGGCATTAAATATTATCTTGTACCCTGTACCAGTGGAAGTGATACCACACTGGACCACAGGACTATATAAAATATATATTATTAATTTTCAAATTTTATATTTAAGACAATAATTAATAATATAAATACTAAATAAATAGTAATAAATTATTATTATTATTTTTTAATTATAGCCTAATTAATCAGACCCCAGAACTTGTGTTTTTGGACGTTCCGATAACGTTACAACACTTTACTTTATGAGTCCCTCAAATTCAATCATTCTAGTCACTGTGTTGTCAACGAGTTACTAACTAACCTGAAAACGCTTAAGCCACCAGTTAAATATTTACTATTGACTAATTTTCATGGTTTGAATGACATACCACACCATTTAAATCAGTTAGTATAGCCTTGGGAGTTACCGGTTTACAAGTTAAAAGACAATTTATTTACCAAAACAATCGCTCATGAATTGTGCTTGTTTACTTTCGTTTCTGTAGTCACATGATTCATGAGCTGTTTCCGGGGGGGGGGGTTTAAATATTTTTGTATCAGGTTCTTAAATTTTAATGTATTCCATAGCATTTTTATCTTGTTTACTTTCGTTTCTGTAGTCACATGATTCATGAGCTGTTTCCGGGGGGGGGGGGGATTAAATATTTTTGTATCAGGTTCTTAAATTTTAATGTATTCCATAGCATTCTTAAACTTTACTGCCTGGATTCTTCGCAAAACTTATTACTACTTTTAAAATAGTCTACTACATTTGAAATTATAAGAATAACATTTGTTTTAGAAATAAATTATTTTGGTTCTTAAAATGTGTGATAATAAAGTTATAAAGGCCAGTGTTTCTTTCAGTTTCAGACTTTGTTCTGGTTTGGAGGAAGGGGTTTGGGTGGGGGGGGGTGTAGAACATCTAAGTATATAACTGCGCAAAAAATAAAATGGGCAAAAATAAATGAATAAGCTCTGACTCCGACAGTCTAACGACTGTCTAAAACTGTCTATAACTGTCTAACACTGTCAACAACTTAACACTGTCTACGCCTGTCTAACTCTTTCTATGAATGTCTAAATCTGACTATGTATATCTGATACTATCTAACATTGTCTACGTCTGTCTAAAATTGTATAGGACTGTCTAACAATGTATGCGACTGTTTTTTATTGTCTATGGCTGTCTAAAATTGTATATGCCTGTCTAAAACTGTCTACGCCTGTCTAACATTGTCTATGACTGTCTAACAATATCTACGACTAACATTGTTTTCGTCTGTATAACAATGTCTACGACTGTTTAACATTGTCTGTGACTGTCTAACAGTGTCTAAGCCGTTCTAACACTTTCTACGTCTGTCTAACACTGTATACGACTGTCTAACATTTTTTTCGTCTGTCTAACTATGTCTACATCTGTCTAACATTGACTACGACTGTTTAATTCTGTCTAGGACTGTTACACAATGTCTACGATGGTCTAACATTGTCTATGACTGTCTAATACTGTATAAAACGATCTAACTCTGTCTAACACTGTATACTTCTTTTTAACATTGTCTATGACTTTTGAACACTGTCTAACACTGTCTCCTTCCGACTAACACTGTCTACGAATGTCTAACACTGTCTAACAGTATCTTCGTCTGTCTAACATTGTATACGTCAGTCTAAAATAGTATATGCCTGTCTAACACTGTCTATGCATGTCTAACACTGTCTATGACTTTCTAACATTGTCAACGCCTGTCTAACATAGTCTGCGCCGGTATAACACTGTCTACGATTGTCTAACACTGTCTATGTCTGTCTATCACTGTAAACGTCTGTATAACTCTGTATACGTATGTCTAATTCTGTTTACGTTTGTCTAAGATGTCTAAAACTAACTAACACTGTCTACATCTGTTTAGCTTTGTCTTTGACTGTCTAACACTATCTAAGCTTGTCTAACACTATCTAGAACTTTCTAACACTCTCTTACTCTGTCTATGACTGTCAAAAAATTGTCAAAAAATTGTCTACATCTGTCTAACACTGTCAAGGACTGTCTAGGTATGTCTAATATTGTCTATGTCTTTCTAACACTGTCTACGCCTGTCTAACAAGAATTCTATGACTGTCTAACACTGTCTACGTCTTTCTAACCCATCTATGTCAGTCTAACACATTCTACGTCTGTCAAACACTGTCTATAACTGTCTATAACATTTTCAGTTTGTCAACAACTGTCTAACAATGTTTACGACTGTCTAACACTGTCTACGTCTGTCTATCACTGTATAGGACTGTCTAACATTGTCTATGACTGTCTAACAATGTCAACGCCTGTCTACTTTTGTCTAAAACTCTCTACAACTGTCTAGGTGTGTCTAACATTGTCTACATCTGTCTAACACTGTCCACGTCTGACTAACACTGTCCACGTCTGTCTAACACTGTCTACGACTGTCTAACATTGTCTATGCCTCTCTAACACTGTCTATGCCTTTCTAACACTGTCTATGACTGTCTAACACTGTTTAAAACTGTCTACATTTGACTAACATTGTACACGATTGTCAAATACTGTCTACATCTTTGTCTTACACTTTCTACGACTGTCTAACTCTGTCGACGTCTGTCTAACACTGTCTACGTCTGACTAACATTGTCTAGGACTGTCGAACACTGTCTAACAATTTCAACGTCTGTCTAACTTAGTCTATGATAGTCTAACATTTTCTACAATGTCTAACACTGTCTACGTCTGTCTTACGCTGTCAACGTCTGTCTTACGCTGTCTATAACTGTCTAACATTGTCTTTTATTGTACAACACTATTTATCTGTCAACGTCTGTCTAACATTGTCTATGAATGTCGAAAATTGTCTACGCCTGTCAAAGACTGTCTACGCCTGTCTAACACTGAATATGTCTGTCTATCTTTGTCTACGTCTTTCTAATACTGTCTACGTCTGTCTAACACTGTCTAGGTACGTCTGACTTTGTCTTTAACTGCCTAACAATTTTTACGTATGTCTAACATTGCATAAGTCTGTCTAAAACTGACTACGACTGTCTAACCCAGTCTAGGACTGTCTAACACTGTCTACGTCTGTCTAACACTCTCTATTACAGTCTAATACTTTATTTAACTGTCTAACACTGTCTAAGTCTGTCAAATTTTTTCTACGTCTGTCTAACATTGTGTATGCCTGTCTAACACTGTCTATGACTATCTAACACTGTCTATAACTGTATAACACTGTCTACGTATGTCTAAAACTGTCTATGACTTTCTAACACTGTCTAATTCTATCTACGTATGTCTAACACTGTCTAGCATTGTAAACTGTCTATGACTGACTAAACTGTCTATGACTGACTAAACTGTCTATGACTGACTAAACTGTCTATGACTGACTAAACTGTCTATGACTGACTAAACTGTCTATGACTGACTAAACTGTCTATGACTGACTAACAATGGTTTCGTCTGTCTAAAACTGTTTACGACTGTCTAACTTTGTCTACGTATGTCTTACATTGTCTAACATTGCCTACGTCTGTCTAGCATTGACTACGACTGTCTAACCCTGTCCACAAGCTTAGGCTTACATTAAGTCTACGATAATGATCGCTCGCCTTAGACTTGTAACAATGATCAAAATTTCTATATGGTCATAACTCAAACATTCTATATCAACATTTCTATATGGTCATAACTCAAACATTCTATATCAACATTTCTATATGGTCATAACTCACACATTCCATATCAACATTTCTATATCGTCATAACTCACACATTCCATATCAAAATTTCTATATCGTCATAACTCAAACATTCTATATCAACATTTCTATATCGTCATAACTCACACATTCCATATCAAAATTTCTATATGGTCATAACTCACACATTCCATATCAACATTTCTATATCGTCCTAACTCACACACTCCATATCAAAATTTCTATATGGTCATAACTCAAACATTCTATATCAACATTTCTATATCGTCATAACTCACACATTCCATATCAACATTTCTATATCGTCATAACTCACACATTCCATATCAAAATTTCTATATGGTCATAACTCACACATTCCATATCAACATTTCTATATCGTCATAACTCACACATTCCATATCAACATTTCTATATGGTCATAACTCACACATTCCATATCAACATTTCTATATGGTCATAACTCACACATTCCATATCAACATTTCTATATCGTCATAACTCACACATTCCATATCAACATTTCTAT